AAAAAGGGAAAAAAAAAAAAAAAAAAAAAAAAAAATCTTTAAAAAAAGGCTCCACAGATTGCCCACTACAAAATGATTATTGCACATATTCATGTATTACTATGTTTTAGAAAATAATTAGTTTTAATTACAGCAGTGAGAGAGTGAGCAGGGCTCTGGCGAATTAGCTGGCAAGCTTTGTGGTGCTAATTTGCTAATATCGTTAGCATCACTGCAGGTTGAGACCAGAGGTCCTGCCAAAAAAGCCTACCCAGGCACGTGCCTGTGAGTTTACATCAGCACACTCAATGATGCGCTCTGAAATGCCTGTATTTTCCATGGGCACATTGGCTTGTTTTTCAAAGCCCATTTGCAGCTCAGTCAGCCCTTGAAGTCATCACCACACACACAAATCATAATTGGGATGTTTTTCTTTTTCTTTTTTTTTCCAAATTACTTTCAATACTTAGACTTTAAGAACTGGAACAAAAAGCTTTTTCAAGTGATGCAGCTGCAGAGAAAAATCTATTGGGATCAGCTAAAAATGCTGTTATTTTTGTGAACGTGTGAAACCTCAAAAAAGCAGCTGAGAGATATTACACCAAGAAGACAGCCTCGTGCAAAGTAGTGGATTGCTTTTGTGCAGTTTTACCTCTTGCGTCTAGCGAGATAGGAATCAGTAAATCTATACATTAAGAAACTCCCTTTGTAGACGAAGAGAAGGGGAAAGGAAGCAGGATGAGTATGGAAAGAGGGGCTTCTTTATGAAAGTCCACATGTCCTTGCTAGTTATTCCCAGACTGGGTTCAAAGGGACGACAGCCACACAATTTCAGAGAAACTGGCAAAGCCATGGACACACGGCTTAAGTCCTGCTCCTCCTAAGGTTGTAACAGATAGTTTGGTAGCATTTATAATAAATTATGCCTGAATATTATGTTTGAAAAATAGTAATTTCTTTCTAATTCCTTCTTCATGCATTAAATGTGTTAATGTACATAAAAGGCGGGAATTTTAGCATAAAGAACTAGGCCAATATTGTATTATGATAATTAGTGACATTTTGCAGTGATTTAAAAATCACACTTAGATGAATATAAGCATGTATATTGGTTTGAAATTCCCCAAACTTCTTTATTTCCTGTTATATATTTTAAAATGGGCATTTGGGGTATGCAAACATATTTCGAAAATTACATTGCTGGGACTTCCCTGGTGGTGCAGTGGTTAAGAATCCGCCTGCCAAAGCAGGGGACACGGGTTCGAGCCCTGGCTTGGGAAGATCCCACATGCTGCGGAACAACTAAGCCTGTGCACCACGGCTACTGAGCCTGCGCTCTAGAGCCCGCGAGCCACAACTA